CTGGGCGCGAGATGCCGGGTCGTCTGTTGCAGCTCGCGGGGGGGATACAATCAGAACCCGCAGCCAGGATGAAAGGTAAGGATGCAAGACCCTTGGAAGCCCCATTGATCATTTGGAGCTCCTCGGGCGTCAACAGTGGCTCAGGATGGGCCGGAGAAGCAGGGGTGCAAGGGCAACCGAAGCAACGCATCCTTGCAATGGATGTTCACTGCGTCTCGGCAGACTTTATGAGGGCGCCGACGACGCCGCCGAGGGCGAGGACAAGGAGGACGAGGCAAAGGCAGAAACAACGGGCACGGCTCCGAGCACCAAAGGGCCAACCGTCCAGGCGGGACCCCCATGTTGAGGGAGACCGCCGTCCGTCCTCCGAGCTGTGAGGAGTGCGACAGGGTGGACTTCTGAAGTCGAGGAGGAAGTGCCCAGGGACAGCCCCGCTCGAAGAGGGATCGCCATGCAACTGTACAGAACTCGCACAGTTTACAGAGAAGGCCAGTCCACAAGAAGGCTTCCAAAAAAAAATGAAACCCCAGGACGTCCATTGATTTTTGCCGTGGGAGCGCCACGATCTCCACAGCGAAACCATCGAAACCCAAGAAACCCTGGGCACGCTGGAGGCAAGCAGGGTGCTTCTTGGCATGGGTCTCCACTGTATAACTTACGATCATAATCTTAAGTATGAAATCTCAAGCGAAATCCCCGGTTCGAAAAGACACCGCCTTGCATCCGTGTGACTGCTGCACCATAGTACACTTGTGGCAACGTGCGCCGCAGAAGTCCCAGGCAAGAGTCCCATTCTGAAAACATGCCAGCCGACATAGGCTCAACTGCAGGAAACTGTTAGGGTGAATGCACGGGGCGCTAAAGTGAGAGCCATTTTCTGAAAACGCGCAGGTCTCCATAACCGTTGGCATAGCTGCAACGAACGCGCGCGCCGCAGAACCACATGTGGAAAGCCACCGGCATGAGTTTCGCGATCACAGGTCGCGAAGGAGTCCCAAACGAAGCGCCCTGCCCAGCCTGCGGACACGCCTGATGGCGCAACAGGGAGGAGTTGCCCAGGACTGGACTGAACCGAAATTCTGAGAATCTAGAAAAGTAACACTGCGAGACGAGCGCCCGATGACATCACCCTCGAGACTGATTTGCTAAGACGCCACGCGTGCCACCGCCCGACTGACTGGCCCGGAACCCCCCTCTGCTGAGCAGCACTGGCACTGGCAGGTCGATGGGGGAGCAGAGGGGGGGGGTCTCAAAATCTTTCGTGGCGACACACGCGCGCTTCCCATATCATATCAGTAGTGACATTCTACTGGCGAAGCTTTCGGCGACAAAACGCCAATCAAAAAATAAACGATTTCAACTAAAAATGAGTGGCGTAGCGTTGGTAGAGGCGCAACTATCTGATTGTGAAAGCATGCGAGCCCGCGCGATGCTTCATGCCCAAGTAGGCTACTCCGAGAGAGGTGCGAGCAGCACGGTTGGCACGAACGAAGTCGAAAACAAGTCGACCGCGAAGAACGACGATGCGAACACGACCAGGAAAAGCAATACAATTCGCATAGGCGAAACATTAAAACAAAACTCCGGGCAAATAGCAATGCGACGGCGGCAATCAAGGCAAGCGTAACTTCACTAACCGCTGAAGGTCGCGCAAACAAGCGCTAGGCCGAAAAAAACACCTGATATTACCACGAAGCCCGACCTTGGAGGACAAATGGGGGCTCGTGCGATGTGGGCTCAGCACGCGACCATGCGAGCCACTGTGGGGGGACGCGTGGATTGCGAGCAAGTGAACTGCAAAGAAAAGCGTGCATGCGGACTACTTGTTTTGAAAGGTCCGGGCGTTGCAGGTGAGATGCCAAGACGGCACCTGACGTTGGTTCCCGCGTTGTCCGTTTGAGGTGGTGACGCTTTGTCGGGATGTCTCCAGACATCCTGGGGTCCTCTGGCGCAGTGTTGGGGCCCTCTTGAGAGAATCTGGGGGCCTCCTGGTCGTGGGATGAACGCTGGTTCCCGTGTTGTCCGTTTGGCGGCGTCTCCAACCATCTTGGGGCCCTCTTGGGCAGTCTTGGGGCCCTGTTGGGGACGGCTGGGGGCTTCCCGGAGGCCTGTTCCAGGCTCGTTGGGGTCTCTTGAAAGCCTCTCGGGGTTCTCCTGGGGGCCGGTTGGGGCCTCCTGGGTCTCTTTTGGGCTGGAGAACCCAAAATGTAAGCCCCTGCCGCCTGTCTGACATGTTCCTAAGCATTCCTGAAGCTTTCGGAAGCAGTCTTGGAGGCCTCTTGGGCCGTCTCGAGAACGTGTTGGACTGGTCTGGGCGCTCTCTTGGGGGCCTCTCAGGCCGTCTTGGGGCGGTCTTCGGGACCTCTTGCGCCGTCCCGGAACGTCGGGGAGCCGAAGACGCCGAAACTCGAAAGACATTTAGAAAACCAGCGAAAATCAAGAAGCTTTCTGGGGGACTTCCTGGAGCCCTCGAAGGCCGTCTCGGGGGGGGGCCCGGGACCCCCTCCCGGCCACAGGGGGGGCGCCGGCGGAAACAGGCGGAAGACGGCGGAAGACGGCCCCATTTCGGCAGACACGCTTCCGCGCGGCACGGGCGGCCCCAAGATGGTCGGCAAAATGTTCCGAGAGGGCCGCGAGTCGCCATCAGGTCGATCCAGGCCGTCCAAGATCGCGCCCGGGTGGCCCAGGGAGCTAACAGGACGCTTCGGGAGGCTTCCGAGTGGCCCTCCCAGAGAGTTCCCGGTGTCAACATGTATGGGTTTTCTGTTGGTTTTTTTTGAAGTTTTTCGGGTTTTCGCGTCTTCGGCTTGCCGACGCACCAAGACAGCCCAAGAGGGCCCTAAAACCGCCCAAAGACGGCCTCAGAGGCCCCCGAGAAGGCGGCCAGACAGTCCAAGACGCCTTCATGACGGCCCAAGAGGCCCCCGCGACGGCCTCCGAAGGCTCCAGGAATGGCCCAAAAAGACCTCCAGAGAAGAGGCAGCAAACGGCATTTCAAGCTCACCGCCCAAAACGACCCCCTCGGAGGCCCCACCAGCAAGCACCGAACATCGCGTCCAGACGGCCCAGGGAGCTCCCAGCACGCCTCGGGAGGCCTCCGAGAGGCCCCCCCGGAGAGCCCCAGTGTCAACGTGTATTGGTTTTCGGTGGGTTTTTGAGAGTTTCTCGGATTTCCACGTTTTCGGCTTGCCGACGCTCCAAAAGAGCCCAAAAAGGCCCAAAAACCACACCAAAACGGCCTAAGAAGCCTCCAACAGAGCGCTCAGACAGCCCAACACGCTCTCAAAACGGCCCAAAACGCTTCCAAAACAGCCTCCGAAGGCTCCAGGAACGCCCCCAAAAAACTTTTAGAAGAAGGGCAGGAACCTACATCTCAAGCTCACCGCACAAAAGGACCCCCCGGAGGCCCCGCAAGGCCCCCAGGAGGCCCCCAACATCGCGTCCAGACGGCCCTCGGCGCTCCCCGGGCGCCTCGGGAGGCGTCCGAAAGGCCCTCCCAGAGAGCCCCACGTGTCAAAATGCATTGGCTTTCGTTGGTTTTACACATGTTTTTCGGGTTTCGGCGCCCTCGGCTCCGCGACGTTCCGGGACGGCGCAAGACGCCCCGAAGACCGCCCCTAGACGGCCTGAGAGGGCCCCAAGAGAGCGCCCAGACCAGTCCGACGCGCTCTCGAGACGGCCCCAGAGGCCTCCAAGACGGCCTCCGAAAGCTTCAGGAACGCATAAGAAAATGTCAGAGAGGCGGCAAGGACCTAGATTTTGGGTTCTCCAGCCCAAAAGAGACCCAGGAGGCCCCAACCGGCCCCCAGGAGACCCCCGATAGGCTTTCAAGAGACCCCAACGAGCCTGGAACAGGCCTCCGGGGAACCCCCAGCCGTCCCCAACAGGGCCCCAAGACTGCCCAAGAGGGCCCCAAGATGGTTGGAGACGCCGCCAAGCGGACAACGCGGAAACCAGCGTTCATCCCACGACCAGGAGGCCCCCAGATACTCTCAAAAGGGCCCCAACACTGCGCCAGAGGACCCCAGGATGTCTGGAAACATCCCGACAAAGCCTCACCACCTCAAACGGACAACGCGGGAACCAATGTCAGGTGCCGTCTTGGCATCTCACCTGCAACGCGCGGACCTCTCAAAACTAGTGGTCCGCATGCATGCTTTTCTTTGCAATTCACTTGCTCGCAAGCCACGCGCCCCCCCCACAGTGGCTCGCACGGTCGCGTGCTGAGCCCACATCGCAGGAACCCCCATTTGTCCCCCAAGGTCGGGCTTCGTGATAATATCAGGTTAGCATGATGAATATGGCTGTTTTCCGTGTTTCCGTCGACCAACAACCCTGACCGCCACCTTCGTTGGCATCGAGATGCCTGGCCACATCGGCCTTTTGGGTTCTCTTTGGCCCCTGGGGCCCTCTGGGGCGCTCTTAGGCGCCTTTTTGGGCGGTGTTGGGGCCTTTTCGGGCCTGCGAGATTTTTTGGGGTTCTCTTGGAGTCTGTTTGCTCCTCCCGTTCCTCCGTTCCTCCTCCTGCTCCTCCTGCGCCGTGCGCATGCGCTCCCCCTACCCCTCCTCGCCGCCCGCATTCTCCCCCCCGCCTTGCACCGGGGGCGTTGCCCGCGAGGGGCCGACGACAAAAAGACAGCAGGCGGGCCGACAAAAAACAACACGTGGACCGACAAAAAACTTGCCCGACAAAAAAATTGGCCCCGACAAAATGGGCCGACAAAAAAAACAGAAGCCCCGACAAAATGGTCCGACAAAAAAAAGCACTGGCCCGACAAAAAAACCGGTCGTCGTGACAAAATGTTCAAAAAAGTGCAGCGACCAAATTATGTTTGGCATCGGCGGCTGGGCGGATGTACTGTAAATTCACAGCTACGGCGCTTGCCCCTGCGATTTTGTCGGGCATTTTGTCGGGCACTTTGTCGGGCAGTCTGGCCGGGCATTTTGTCGAGGCGGTCCAGTTCCGCCCCGCGCTTGCGCCGCTTTCGCTTCGCGGTAAG